AAATACGAACAAGAAACAAATGGAGAGGTATGCCTTACATCGAACCAAGGTCTGTACTTGTTCCCACTTGCCTCAATAAGTGGATCGATGCGGTTAAAGTCAGGCGGCTTAATAAAATCATGGCGCAAGCGAAATATGGCATTCAACACTACCATGAAGTACTTTGAAATTGTAGCCCCCGAGTGTTGCCATTGATGTTGTGTCTTTCTATTGCTTTCGCTTTGACAAACAATTGTCAAGAAAATGATCAATTGTTCATCAACGCTCATATTTCTTGTACTCAATAAATTCTTTTGTTCGAGTAACCAACTCAATCGCCTGAAGCAATCGCTGCCCATCCTAATCTTATTGTATATTACTATCTCGTGTCCATTTAACAAATCACTTAGACGCTGCGTATCTGTGTAGTGGCTATTATTCTTAGGAGTCGGAAGTGGATGTTCCAAGTACGCCGTATAGAATACTACAGCAGAGGCTGCTCCAAGAATGTAGTCATCATCAGAGTCATCTTCCGGTGGACCATTGTTTCCCGCGTTTGATGGTCTGCCACTCCACATCCTGTCTGCCAATACAATCCACAATATACAAAACAATATTTGAAATGATAAGCATGAACAATGTATATATTACAGATTGCCTCAATGAACAACAATGCATAATATAAAATCATAGTTCCAAATCCAAGTCTACAACGTTACAACAAACACACTCACAAACTGAACTCGCTAGCTAAAGCCAATGTCAAATTGAAATGAGAAACAATCGTGTCAAAGAAGAAACAAAGACAATACATCACAATCAAATGGAAAAGGAAATAACGCTGGGAAAACGAACACTCAAGTTAAATCTCATCACTTCCGATTCCTCCAAAGGGGCCAGGTGGGGGTTCACGAAGAATGGTGAGAAATTTTGGTAGTTAGGAAGGGGTTGTTGGCCAGTAGGAATGCACTGTTGGAAAGAAGGTTGTGGTGGGTTAAGGTTAGAGGGGACTGGGGGAAAAGGAGACTGCTGTTGTATGAAGTTTTGGACGGGTGGGCGAAAATGTGCAGACGAACCACATACGGTGGACCCTGGTTCATATAATATGGATATTGTTGCTGAACGTTGGGTCCTGGATTATTTGCTATGGTTTTCAATGTTTTCAAAGCGTAGCACAGCCTTTGTTCATCATTCATGCCCAAGAACATCTCTTGACAGTTTGGGTTACAATTTATATACTCTATGAACAACACTGTCTGTTCATTGTCCAATAACATCTCACTAATTACTGCATGACACTTTTGGAAGGTTGATTGCTGGGATTCCACACGTTGAGAAGCACCTGAACTTGTACCTCGACTACTCTGACGCAGATTCAGCGTAGTTGCAATACTTTTTAAAATAGATTTTGCCTCTGGATCCACACCTCGGGCTCCACTATTGCGCTTCGTTATATGTTGAGATGACGAGGCCATGTTTAGGGGACGGGTTGATGATTTTAAAGCCCCTCTCATTGTGTTGACAAATGCTTCCTCACCTTCCAAATGTTGCGAATTGTTGCCATCAACATCATGCTCCCCTACAAGCGGCTCAGAAAAGTCACCTTCCTCATCATTCTCTTCCAAACTCTCTTCAAATGCACCGCGGGCACGCCTACTAGCAAACGCTTCGTAGTAGAGCTCAGAGTTCTTCAGGAGATCCTTACATGCACGTTTCGCCTACTTATGTGTCTGTTGAACACATAAACAAATAAAGCAATCTTTAGTGGCCACTAAAAATTATAAAATGCAAAACACAAGATCCATAAGGCAAACTTATGCATTTCCTTGAAGTAAATTATGAAAGTCAAATCAGCATTGTCAAGGACGCAGGCCCTAAGGCTCAATCCCCTGGCCCGCAACCCCGCAGGCCCTAATGCCCGAGGCCCCCATCCC